GTAATCCATTAAAGGGAATAACGCGGTTACCGATAAGTACTTTAACACCTAAATTTTAGCAACAGATATGATACTCCATGTTATGGCTTTGCATTGTCATTGAAGTCATACTGCCTGGGTAACTCAAATATCTTATAAATTTAAAATGCTATGAATGAATTAAAAAGTAATATGACAAAAACAGCATTTTATATAAGTCTATCAGTGTAGCCCTTTTCTATGTAGTCCATTTAGGAATTTCTCCATATAAAGAATTCAAACATTAACACTGGCAAGATCAAATCATCTCCTGGAGACCTACTAACCTGGTGAAGAAACTAAAATGACTCAGCTGTCTGCAGTAAGAGGCTAATGATGCCACCTGCGTCCATCCAATCCGCCCGCCCCCCCCGAAGTAAACATATTTTCTTAAAAGTCAAATTACATTTTTGTGTCCAGAGCTGAATACTGTGTGCAGTTAATTTTAATATGAGGCCATTGAAACCATCTGATTAGGCACATATTAATTAGGCATCAAAATTCCTACACAGTGAGAGGAATCAGGAATTCGGAACCCCTGACTACAGTTGATTTAAAGACTGGTTAGCATTAATCCATAATGACCAACATAAACATCGTTCCTCAAGAAGTGAATAATATTCACCATTATATCTTCTGGGAAAAATGCAGCTTTGGTATTAGTCTCAGAACCAGTTTAAAATACTCTTTGTTTTATAAACATTCCTTTAGTTCATTAAGTAAAATTCCACCCACAAGATAAGTGAACTCAGTGAAATCCACTAATTAAGATCACATGACATAAACTGTCAGTCTCCTCAGTTTTCCAGTTTATTTCCCCAATAAATCACACCAGGGTTAAATAAATACTACACAGGGCTGTTTGAAAGACTTGCTATCTATAAAATGTCAACTAGTTTTTATATATTGTTGTCCTGCATCTAGTGAACTGTCAAGGACTTTGACCAACTTTTCCTGTACTGGTAATAGATTTAGTCCTTTTGATCAGCAGCATGTATTTCACAGGGCAAGGCTGTAGGCCATGTCTTTGACAAAATAAATTGGCTTACACAGAAGTGAACTCTAATCCTAACCTTATTTATGCTCTGAAATGAAATGACTTCTAAGAATTTTAGTAAAATTCAAAGAATTTAAACAAGATATAATCAAGGCAACTCCTTCTTATTTTAAATCTGCAGTTCCCAAGGAAATATTTTTTTCTAATAAGTAAAATCTTATCATCAGACCACTCCTGGGATAGATTTTAAGTTCCTTTAGGGCAAGGATCCCAATTTATTCTACCTAATTGTGCTCACTGAATTAATTTTCATTGATGGCATAAAACCTAACATTTACCATTCCAACTTTTATTTCTATTCATTACCTACCTCTCAAGTGATGCTATAAAATTTAGAACTTTAAGGTCCAAGGAAAAGCAATCACTTTTTTTAAAAACTACCATTTTTAGCTTCTCACTTTCTCTGTAAATGGCACAAGCCACACTTTTCACAAGGTATACTGTATTTAGTTCAAACCAGCATGTATTTTTGAGGGTATACTCTATGTCTAACATACTAGTAGTACTATACAGGATTAATAAAAGTCTTTTTTATCCTCAAGAACTTTATGTGTGGGAAGTCCAACCTGTGTGTAAGTTAAGAAATAATACAAAAGCAATATATAATCAAATGTTAAAATGAGTTATACAGAAATACCAAACAAATGAGATAGTTTATAAATTTGATAAATGTTCTCTGTCTCAGGGATTATGTAGCTTTTCTGAATTTCTCCTTATATAGTTATTAGTCCTTTAAGAAATCTACTTTGTAATATTAATAGGAATAAAAATGAAAGTAATTTCTTCCATAATGTATAGAATTTTTAAAAACTGTCACAAAGAACCCAACAGACTTCCTTCTAACAAGTTTCTACATTAATATTACCCACTCTCATCTTTTCACTTGAGGCTGTCATCTCCACTTTAAAGAAGAAAATTTTCTTTTTGCTTGATGGAGTAAACATCAGCAGTTTGGGTATAATTTAAAATGTCCAGCCCTAGCTCATGTAGCTCAGTGGGTTGAGCACTGGACTGTGAACCAAAAGGTCGCCAGTTTGATTCCCAGTCAGGACACATGCCTGGGTTGCAAGCCAGGTCACCATTTGGAGGCATGTGAGAGGCAACTAACTGGTCAATGTTTCTCTCCCTTTTTCTCCATCCCTTCTCCTCTCTCAAAAAAATGAAAAATAAATAAAATCTTTTTAAAAAAGTCCAGATTGTGAGAAAAGAGGTTTAAATAGAATAAAAATATTCTATTTTTTTCTGATTAACAAAAGACAAATTGTCTATTCTATCCTTCATGGTGTACTCAAAATTATACAAGCACAAACGAATGAGTGTTTATTTTTAATCTTTCTCTTTCTTTCTCTCTTTCTTTTAGAGAGAGGGGAAGGGAGAAAGGAAGAGAAATATGGATGTGAGAGAAAAACATCAATTGACTGCCTCTTGCACGTGCCTTGATGGAGGATAGAACCTGCAACCCAGGCATCAGCCCTGACCAGAAACAGAACTGGTGATGATGCTCAACTGAGCCACGCCGGCCAGGGCAGAATAAATGTTTCAAAATCTTCGGAACTGCCCTATAAGTAAATATATAGTAGTTATACACAATAGTTACCGATAACTGAAAGACTGTATGCTACACATGTATTTAGATTTTTTGTTGAATGCACAAAAGGACAGAATTAATTCTGGGTATTGTTTCATGCCATTCATTCATATAGTGCCACTTGCATATTTTTAAGAACAACAACCAAATATAGAAACTTCAGAAGTTTAGTAATAGATAAACTCATGAAAGTATTTTTGGTATATATAGCAACATGGAAAGTTTACTTTAGCAATATGTACATTACACTTTATGTTGTTTTTGTTCAAAAATGAAATAACTAGATCTATTTTTTTAAAAGAATTTTCCTGGATTTTTGTTATAAACATTGTGAAGCAAACTATGTTTTTATAGGTCTTGAATTCATGTACAATATGTTTCTGGGATCACAGTCCAATAGAAAACATTGCTATTCATTGGGGAATAATATTTAATGGCCAAAAAAATAATAATAAGGATGAAAAGAATAAAGAAGGAAATAATAAAAAAGTGATGGAAAAAATGTAGAAAGTTCATGAGAAATTGGAAAAAATATATTTGTGAGAATTTATTTGTGACATGGTTTGTGATATTTCTAGTAAAAGCTTATTTAACTTGCTGAAAAAAATTTTCTGATGTGGTCAACATCACATCAGATGTTAAGTATATTAAATGACATTTAGAATAAGGCTACAGGTCTCGGTTGGCCGCATTTGAAAACTGATTTATTCTCCCCCAATGTGAAAGCAGTCTAAATTGGCCATGTCTATTAAAATGTCTTATTTAGGGAAATATATTGCAGAAATCCAAAGACTCTAAATCTACCTCAATAATTTCTTAATGTAACAGTCTCAATTCCAGATTATCAAGAAAAGAACTAATTGTTCTGAAAAGTTTAGGAATACATATATCAGAAAGTAGTGGCTAAATCAAATAAGCTCTATAATTTGATATAAAGCTATAAAGTAATGATATCGCCAAAGAAAGAACGACTGTGAAAATATTAACTAATGGTTGAGTTTCAAAGACACTGAATCCTGGATATCTTAAAGAATCCCAATAATACATTAAATTCCTTGGATCCTCATTTAAAGTGAGAAACCCATTTCTAAACATATGTGCACAAGTACCTCAGCCTCTTCATGCCTGCTTGTCTGTCCCACAGTCAGAGAAGGCAGGATATTTGGTTAAGCATATGTTTACGACTAAAGACAGGAAAATTCCAACTTTAAAACCAAATATTTTCCTTGTTTAATTCTGGTATCTTATTGGTCCATATGCTGCCTCCTCCTCACAGTATGGTACCCTCCTCACAGTATGCTACCAAAAATCTAGATTTTGACTTTCTTTTAAAACATAAGGATAACATCAAGCAGACCGAATTGAGGAGTGGAAATGCTGTATGAGAAAGAAGAGCAAAACTGAAGATGATCAAAATACATACTGACACACTTGCTGAAGACATTAGGTGCTCCGTAAGTGCTTACTGAAATGCTGTTTATGACATTTATGATGATAAATTCATCTTTCCCTAATTTAAGAATCCTCATGAGTTAACCACAACCAGTTCAGTATAATTTAACAGAAAACATCTGGTGGCACTTTTAAATGCCTAAGGATAGCATTTCATAAACCATGCCTACCTCCACATCATTGCAGCAGCAGAAAATGAGAACACAGAAGCAGGGATGAATATCAGGAAAGTCCTGATATATCATTTGATTGTATCGATTTGGTCTTGCCTGAGACCAGTACCACTCTTCAATTATCTACAGAGAACCCAGACATTCCTTTTTTCTTTTTGGCTAAGCTAGCTGGATTTTAGTTTCTATAATTTGCTACCAAGAAAATACTAATATTGGGTGCCTGTCCAAATCAAAAGAAAATCTTATTCCTTCCTCCATATGTTCATACATAAATATCAAATTCCCATCAATATCCAATTATAATAATTGACCATGTGGCTGTGACTATCAGGAAAAGAAACAGCAAGTTTGAGAAATAGCCTCAATCCTTTTTAGAGATTCATAATCTATAAAGGTTATAGAAAGTTATCCAGTAAAGAAATCTCTCTAACTCAGTTGAACTCACATTTACAAATCATATTTGATCATAGAATCCTTTTTTTTTTTTTTTTTTTTAGGAAGTATTATCTTTCGGAAATCCTACTTAGTATAGCATAAGTTGGAAAATGCTACTTGGAAATGTAGCCATAATCCCTTGGATCTAGCATCTGAAGAAAAATTGAAAAAGCATTCTTACCTGCTTCTTAATATATTTAAAATATACCAGGAGAAAATGATAGAGCTCAAATTTGAATGTAAAAGTAGTTTGCTTTCTAGATTAAAACTAACTTACCTGCATTGAAATAAGAATGAAATCAATTAGGCTCCCAATTCCGCAAAACCCTACAGTGCAAAACTTTAACAAACCTAGAAAAAAAGGTAAAATCATTTACAACCTGGAAAGTCATTTAAATATTAACAAACTTTTCCATTTCCTAATTATATATATCACAAACTCTTTATATCAAGAATATACACCTGTCAAAATGGCTATCATCAATAAATCCAAAAACATCAAGTGCTGGAGAGGATGTGGACAAAGGAGAACCCTTTTGCACTGTTGGTGGGAATGAGGATTGGTGCAGCCACTGTGGAAAGCAGTATGGAGATACCTCAAAAAATTAAAAATGGATCTGTCTTCTGACCTAGCAATCCCACGTCTGGGAATATATCCAAATGGACCCAAAACACTAATTCGAAAGAACAAAAGCACCCCTATGTTCATTGCAGCATTATTTACAAATGCCAAGATGTGGAAGCAGCTCAAGTGTCCATCAACAGATGAGTGGATAAAACAACTATGGGACATTTAGGCAATGGAATTCTACTCGGCTATTAAAAAAGAAGAAAATTTTACCCTTTGCAACAGTATGGATGGACCTGGAAGACATGCTAAGTGAAATAAGCTGGTCAGAGAAAGACAAACACCATATGATTTCACTCATATGTGGAATCTAACAAACAAACAAACTGAACTAACGTGCAAAACAGGGACAGACTCCTAGATGGAGAACAGGTGACAGCTAGTGGAGGGGTGTGGGGGTGAGGTTAGGGGGTGGAGGGATTGAGCAAAAAGAAAAAAAGACTCATGGACAATAATGTGGTGACTGCTGGGGGAGGGGGGTAAAAGGGAACTAAATGGTAATGGGAAAAAATATAATAAAGATCATATATATATATTTTTAAAGAATATAAAATTAATATTTAAAAAAATCAAATCTTCACCCTAAAATATGAGAAAAGTTTAAAGGTTCCTTTATATAGAAAAGCCACAACAAAGTTTATTAACTCACTTATCAAATAAATATTAGGAACTGAAAGAAAACCTCATTGTAATCATACAAAATTTCTTAAGAGAAAAGGCATAAGGAAATAAATCTTTAAATCTCAGTACATCAGAATTAGAGAACACCTTTTAGCCTGAAATCTTTATTTATCTACGTAGACTTAACACATTATGTGATCTAAATTTCAATATGTATTTACAAGAGAAAGTCCAAATAAAGATTGACAAGGCCCAGAAAAAAAATAATCAGGAAAAAACACTGATATTATAGTTAAATTGAGAAATTTTATTAGCAACCCAATTATCTTGAATTTATCCTATACTTTTTTCCCCCTAAGCATCTCATGTTTATTCACTATATAGTCAAAATAACAATTCTGTGTGCTATATATACACTTCTGTTCTTGGTCCCAACCTTAGAGCTAAGGTACTAAAATAGATGATAATAGAGCATATACAAGATATAATACAAAAACATGATAATGAAATAGCAAGAGGCAGACTGGGGCTGAGGGTGGGATGAATAATCTCTCTCCACAGTTAAACTTCAGTTGCTTTCCAGACATCCCATTTGAGACATAAAAATGGTATGAAACAAGACTCTTTGTGAAAGGGCAGTTTTAAGTATCATCTACATAGGGGTGCCAGCTAAAAACTGCAAGAGTGAATGAGATCACCCTCTGCACACAATTTGGAAATACACAAAAAAGGTTGAAATATAGAGGTACATTAGATGATTTTTCCACATATATTAGAATAATGTTGTAAGTACTAGCATAATATGAGTTGGAAATAATTCAAAACCTATTAAAATATAACAATTATATGAAATTATTCTTTTATTTTTCCTCAAAACACTTATTATCTACCTAATAGTTTATATTTGATTACTCTCTCATGCAAGCCCCACGAGGGAAGTGTCTTTTATCTGTTTTATTTACTCCTGTGTCTTTATGTACCTACGATACTGTCTTGCACATGGAAGATGCTCAATATTTGTTGAATGAATGAATTTTCTCAGCTTTTCTGTCCCCTAAAGACCCCTTTTTATCCATCATCTTACATAATAACTCCTTTAATTATTTTTTTCATTAGTTGCCCAAGGAACTTACCTACTCATATACTGTATTTCTGAAATGTATCCCTCTTCACATAGCATTTATAAATTTGGAATTATTTCCCTTCTTTCAATTTGTTTATAAAAAGAACATTAAGAATGGTCCAAAAACAGTTTGCCTTCCATTAACTGCTACTCTATGAAGAAAATATAACCATGTCAGACAGAGCCTTTGCCCTCGTTAATGCCCTCTTCCAACAGATGTCTTCCTACAGCTCTTTGCATCTCTCAGGCCACTTTTTTAGAGAAGTCTTCCTAACCTGCCCCTCTAAAGCAGCTTGCCATCTCCCCCACCCCCGAGCCCAAGCACTGTCACATCTCCCCTATTTATTTCCCTCATGGTGCTGATTAGAAATCTATTATAGCCTCATTCACTGCTTTGCTCATTCATTCTCTGTCTTCCACTGCCAGGTCAATTCCTAAAGGCAGGGTCCTATCCGCCTTATGCAAGTCGATTCCTTGAACAGTACCCAGCAAACAGTGAGAGAGTGATAGATATTTGTCGTATGACGATCAAAAAAGAAAAAACAAACAGATACAACTTAAATATCTAACAGGAAGAAACTGTCTCAAAAAATTTAGGTACATCTAATAGGAAAAAATACTATGCAACCATTTAAAACAATGATATGGAAGGATGTTTGTTGACAAATATCCTTTTCTAAACAGAGAAAGATAATGACTTCATTAAAATCCAGATATTATTCTGCTGAACCCTTCCTTAAGAGTACTCAAAATGAACATGAGAGGTTCATGTTTGGATAAAATATTAGATAAGGACATATGTGTGTTAGAAACTTTGGTAAATGTTATCTACTCCTGGAGAACACATTTACAGAAACTATAGAACAGATCCAACATGATCGTTAAGCACTTAAGGAATTTGCAAACTAATCTATAGTGACAGAAAGCAGACAGTGCTTGCTTGGGAAAGGGCAAGATAAGGAGGGCCAAGAAGCAGGGATTACAAATGGGCATGAGGAAACTTTTGGGAGTGATGGATATGGTCATTATCTTGATTATGGTGATTGTTTCACGGGTGTATACACATGTCTAACTTATCAAACTGTACACTTTAAAATGTGAATTGTATTGTATGTCATTTATACTGCAATAAAGCTGTTTTTAAAAATTTAAAGAACTAAGTTGACTGTTTAAAAGAAAATATTCAAAGTTTAAAATCATTACATTGATTTATACCATCTCACTCCAAATGTGTGATATTAACTATGGTCCATCTATGGTATTTCTGTTTTTAAGATAAAAGATCACTTAACTAATGAAGATGCTAATAATGCTATCTTAAATTTGTTTTAGCTTTCAAATATAAAAATACTTTATGAAAATAAGATAGGAAGGACACTAAGGAATAAAAAAGATAATGAAGCAAAGTTACTCAATGTTGGCCCAACTGCTACTCATACTACCACTATTTCCACCACTACTACAATTATTATTATAATCAAGAAATTTAGACAACATAAATCCACACTCTTTATAGTAGCATCATCTAACCTAGTCTCAACTCTTGCAAATTCCTTCTAATTGTGTTATAGCCCAACAAACTAACAAAGTTCTCTTAATATGCCCTGCTCTTGTATCTCCTTCGTCCATCTCTGCATTTGTGTGTGCTATCCTGTTCTCTGCCTTGCCTCCTCCTTCCTCCCACCCCACTATTCCCAATCATCTAGCTAATTCCTAACAGTATTCTAAAACTTCTAGAAAGTCTTCTCTAGTGCCCCAAGGATAATTTAAATGCCATTCCTAAATGTTCCCCAGACCCTTTAAGTTGCAAGCTAGTACATATCCCACAGTAGGACTTGTTGTGTATTTATTTATTTGTCTGTCTTCCCTGATGCATCTGTGAGCAACCTGAAATCAGGATGGTGTCATTCCCATGCCTAGTCAATATGACTCCTGAAGGAACAAACTACATCAATAAGAAATTATCTTATTTGTAACTAAACACTAATCAACTTGGACAAAAAGCATACATTCTAAATAGTATTTATTAAAACCAATACAGACCATTACTCTTACAGATTTCATTATTTTGAGCATCAATACCAGTTTTTTAACAGATGAGATATTTGTGAACTACCACAAGTGGATTGACTACTTTTTTATCCCAAATAAAAAGTTTCCTTTGCACAAACCCTATTTATTAACTTCTTATTGTGGAAAGAAATACCAGCTTTAGATTTAAAAAAAATTTTTTTTTTAAAATTCCAAACAGAAGTGTTTCTAATCAAGAAAAATCCATTTTTATCCTGAACCATTACTACTGTAGATATATTCTTTCAAAAAGATTATGCTACCAAATGACATTAATAAAGCTCATGTTTTGAGTACACTTTATTTATATTTTAGTAACTTAAAACTTTAGATTTTAAAAACAAACTCAATAAAAGGGTATATTTGGATATAAAATAAAAAGAACAGATTAATTACAGGCTTTTAAACAATATTTTGGTATTTTATATTTTAATATAGGTTGAGTCTTGCAGATACTCTTCTGTCTGCATAACTGTTTTAGAAAACAAAGATTACCTCATATGGGAGTTGCTGTTGCCAAATTGCAAGTGTTCTATAAGGATGGGGGGGCGGGAATGTGTGTGTGTGTGTGTGTGTGTGTGTGTGTGTGTGTGTGTGTGTGTGTGTGTGTGTGTGTGTGTGTGTTTTACACGTACACCTGTGAAGGAAAGCTTTCAAATCTTAGAAAAATTTAACCTACAAATCCTTTATTTGTCCTATGATATATGGATATTACATACCAGTCCAAACTGGTAACTTCAAAGTAAAAGAGAAAAAGAGGAATAATATAACCAAAGATTTTTAAGATATGGGCTTAAAAACATACAACTTTGTTATTCTCATAAGAAAATGCTTACATTTTAAAATAAATACCACTATGCAAAGAGCATCTCTTCTATTAATTGCTCCAAAAAAACTATTATCTTTGAGAATCCATAATCTTGTAATGCCACAGACAGGCAAAACAAAATATGCTACATCTTGTATATAAAAAAGTCACAGATGTTACCACAGTTAAAAACAGAAAGACAGAATATTATTAGAAAAATAAGGCTTTGTGGTGGGAAAACAAAGAAAGGCTTATAGCCAAAGCAGCATTGGTATTGACGAGGAAATCAATTAAAACAAGTAAAGCTGGGGATGTAAAATACAACACAGGAAATATAGTCAATAATATTGTAATAATTATGTATGGTGCCAGGTGGGTCCTAGAAATATTGAGGGGGATAAGGAGTAGGAACATTTTGTAAAGTATATGACTGTCTAACTACTATGCTGTACCCCTGAAACTAATACAAAATACTACTGAATGCAAACTGTAATTGAAATTTTTTCAATAAAAAGAAAGAAATAAAGCTATACATTGTTAAATAGAAACAAGATCTTCAAATTTACTCAATTGAATTTTTATTCTTTAACAACATAAAGTCATAGCTGTGGGCTAAAAAGAAATTTGAAACATCTAGAAAAAAATTTTTCTTTAAAAAGGAATTTTTAGGTCTTATCAAATTTTATTCAATCTCATCCCTCAACAAATTTCCTTGTTTAATCCTGAAGTAAAATTTATGTAGTGAAGTATCATATTCAACACTAAATTACTTTAAAAAAACAAGTTTCATATCTGCATGATGTACATTAAATATTCTGTTAACTCCAATGATCATAAAGGGTATTAAATTAGTATTTTCAAAAGCTATCTATAAATACGACCACTGCTTTTTGTAACCATAAAGATTAAATAAGATCACAATTAAACAGGATTATATACCACTCAACACTGTTTTATTACATTAAGAATTTTTTAAAATGGAAGTTAATCATTTAAATTGAAAATACCAAAATTCTTTAACCTTGGATTTGTAGTAAAAAATTAAAATTTAAATAACTAAAATCATTTAAATTTTTTAAATTTACAAAGTTGTAATTTGACATATTAGATTTCATTAATTGAAAAAACACATCAAAATCCTTAACATTAAGATAGCTTAATTCAAGTAAGATGTAGAAAAAAGTATTTGAATGCTTAAACGGATAAGAGGATTTTCAGTTAAAGATAATAAATTTGACATACTCACTTAGCAACTCTCACTCCAAAATCCCACTAAAAAAATGGTAAAGGGATTTTTAAAGTCACTAACCCAAAAGAATAAATGGAAGGTAAGACAGCAGCAACAAAAATTCAGGAGCTGTAAGACAGACTTGATCTTAGAAAAGTTGTATCCTAAGCCAATAGTCAAAATGTTTGTTGAATTAATGAACATCCAAAGGTTGTGATAATAAAGTGAGTTATTTAAAGATTTTTTAAAAATACATTTATACCTAGGCATAAAGTTAAATGTCAAAAATTGTATTTGCAAGTTTATAGAATCTCAGACTCAAACTGAAGGGTTCTTTTTGACTGAAGCTAACAATTGACTGGAGTACCAGTGGCCAGAGAAAGGCAACTCCTGGCAGGAAACTAACATTCACTAACCAAAGCTACTATACAGAATTTTATACAGAGCTTTATACCTAGAGTTTGATTTTGTAGGAAAAAAAAATTCACAATATACATATCAACGTACTATTATGTCCTGCAGTAAGTCAAAAACATTAATTTATACTATAGAATATGGTAGCTCATTGGACACACATCATAAGAAACCAAAGTCACTCATTAAACCAAACATTTTAAAAATATTTAATATTTAAAATCATCATAGAATAAGCTATTCTAAAGAACAGTGTTTTCTCCTTCCCTCCTAAGCTTTTAAAAACTTTTTTAAAGTTAGAAATGTTATATATATTGATGGTCATGTCCTCTTAAAGAGAGCATAAAAGAAAATGCAAGGACTAAGACAGAAGGCTGTGGCTGTATTCTAACCATCTGACATCACCATGTCATTTTACTTTCTCATTATGAACATAGTTTCTCCATCTGACCATGTATCCTTGCATCCATCCATCACCTAAAACGATTATTAGACTAAATAATATTAATTCTGACAACTCAGAGGCCTTCCATGCACATTACACATTACGGAAAGGTATGGTTGCTATTACAAATGGCATGAACGTCACTCACACTATCACCAGGCCAGGACTACCACGTCAATCTCCTTTCACCTTACTCTGCCACCAGTCTCTCCATCTAAGCCATTTCCCACAATTCCTCCAGTATCATCTTCCTGAATTATAAATCTGATCATGATACTCCTCTGCTTGAAAACTTTAACAGAGCCCTGACCGGTAGGGTTGTTGGTTGGCCATCATCCCACAGAGTGAAAGGTCACCACTTAGACTCCCGGTCAGGACACACTGAGTCGTCAGTCGGGGGCACATAAAGAGAGGCAACCTAACTCACAACGATGTGTCTCTCCCTCTCTTTCGCCCTCCCTTCTCCTATCTCTAAAAACAAGTAATCTTTAAAAAACAAAACAAAACATTAACTTTAAGGGCTTCCACCCTGACTGGTGTGGCTCAGTTGGTTGGGTACTGTCCCGCAAAATGAAAGGTCACCAGTTCGATTCTTGGTCAGGGAAGATGGCTGGGTTGCAGGTTTGGTCCCTGGATGGGGTGTGAACAAGAGGCAACCGATCCATGTTTCTCTCACACATCAATGTTTCTCTCCCTCTATTTCTCCTTCCCTTCCCCCTTTCTCTAAAAATTAATAAATAAAATATTTTAAAAAATAAAACAACTATTAGGGCTTCTGATATTAGAGGGTAAAGTCCAAAGTCCCTAAGAAGAACTCAAAGCCTTTTATAATCTGACCACCAGCTACCTCAGCAGTCACTTCTCACCTCCTGCCACCTGCCATCACTGTTCTTTCTATACCACACGCTGAAGTACCCACCATTTTTTCAACATGCACACATGCTCCTTCATACCCTGTTGCCTTTGACATGCTACTCCCTATAGTGTCCTAAATCTCTGTGATCTACTTATCTTTCACACTCCAAGGACGACAGAACCAGTTCCCTTTCTGTGCTTTCACAGAACTTTGTTATGGTTCTGTAATAGTACTATATCATCAGTTGGCCTACCAACATATTTATTTTCTTTTTAACTAACATGACCTGTGACTATCACTATGTCCAGAGCTCTCAGTTACTTACTTAATAAGCAGTAAACCCTAATAAATGCTAACTACATAAATCCATGTATATAGTATTTTTAAACTGTGGCTTCTATTTATGATGTAACAATGAGCTCCAGAAAAGGCTGTCAGAAACCTACTTCCCACCAACCCCGTGGTGAAGATTCCCCTTTGATCTCTGGTGGGTAGCAACATGGAAAGAATAAGATTAGCTTTGCTGACTGGAAAGCAGAGCATTCAGAAACTAAATTTGTTCAGTGAAGGGCTAATATAAAAACAGAGTACTATAGTAAATAAAGCATGATCTCTTGAGCCAGAAAATTGGGGTTCAAATTCAGGTCACTAACTGAATGTCCTTGGGTAAATCTCTTAATCTCATGACAATTTCCCTATCCATAAAACAAGAATGATAACAACAAATATATCACAGAATAAAGCAAGGCCTCCAGAGTCAGTAAATCCCTTAACCTCTCTGGTGACAATTTCCCTACCTGTTAAAGAAGATTTAAAGAGGATGATAAACTCAGGGAGTTGCAAGGCTTAAATAAGGGCCGGCATGTGAAAGTACTGCTTAAAATGCTATTGTCAAATGTGGAGTTTTCCTAAGCTTTACCTGCTATGGTAAATGTGACGATTACAGCTAGGAGAAGGTATTGGGGGGATGCTAAGGGTGATAAAAGCCGGGCTCCACACCAGCTTATGCCGGCTGCTGTAATTCTAACCCCAGCTGCTCTCAGAAGTTGTTTCGATTCCCAAAACAACACTGAGAGAGGTTCAGGTAGAATGTTTTTTGAAGAAATAAGGAGAGATATGCCTTTATTCATAAAATATATATTGAGCATCCTCTCAATAAATGGGTACTGTGTACCCAGCAGCAGCAACAATGAGAGCTCAGGCCCACTGCACTGTCCTAAGTGACTACACTATCTTGAGTATGTGTTCTCATAAAGATGAAAATACAGAAAAAGTCAGAATTTCTTATCCAAAGTGAAGTGTATAGCTAACTTCTAGCTCTATACTCACAGAAGAGTGTCAACTATTCCACCCTTGGAATATGGACCTTGTAGTTATTAATAGTATGCAAAGATTTAATCTGCATGAAGGGTTAATTTTCTCACAGGTAACACAAACAACAAAGTTTCACAAGGATTTTTTTTGTGTGTGTGAAACATACTCACCCAAGGCAGGGTATCCAAGGTAAAACCGATCTGCTCCCAACCATCCAAGAAAAAGAGACAGTGCAACAGCCACTTTATATGAATAGCCATTTCTGCACAAAATTAGAATCTGAGTGTCACCCTCATACATTTCCAACATATTACACTTTAGAAAACAAAATTGTCAATTATTATTTATTTGTTAATTGGTGCATTCACTCATTCATTCATTCAATTAATGCTTTTTGGGTAGCTACTGCATGTCAGGCACTACTCTAAGCTATTGGAATATTTTAATGAACAAAAGAGAAAAAGGTCCCTGTCCCTAAAAAGCTTACAATCCAGTGGTAGCAAGCAATAAACATATTTAAAAAGTAAATCATATATTATATTAAGAAAGCCATAAATGCTATGGAAAAAAAAAGAAGTGGAACAGGGTAATCCAGAATGCTAGGAGCCATTTAAATGGGATAAGAGGACTCACTGAGAAGGTGGCATCTGAGTAAAGATGGTAGGGAGGTGAGTCAGCCATGTCTGATGGGAGAGAAGAGTGTCCCATACAAAAAAACTGCTGTTACAAAGCCAGCACACCTCTCGTGATTGAGGCCTATTAAGGAGGCCTGTGTGGCAGGAGTGGAGTGAGAGAAGGGAAGAATAGTATAAGACAAGGTCAGGGAAGTAACGGGGCAAAGAGAGTATGCAGGGCCCTGCAGGGCCCTGAATACCATTGTAAAGACTCTGCCTTTTACGCCGAGAAATAATGGGAAACCACTGCAAGATTTTTTTTATTCAATCTATTTGGGTGACATTGGTTAACAAACTGCACGATTTTAAGTAAAGGTGTGGTATGATCTGATTTAGATTTTAAAACAATGACTCCAGAAAAGGGTGTCCTGAAAATAGCCTGCACGGGAGAATTTGTCACAACATCATATAACAAACCACTCCAAAACTCAGTGGCTTACAAAAACAAGCAATTATGCTCACACTTGCAGACTGTGACTGTCTGTGGTTCAGCTCATCTAGGCTGGGTTCATCTGGGAGATGGTGTTTTAGGCTGAAGTTTGGCTGAGTCTGTATTCAGGCTGCAGATTCAGTTCAAAACAGTTCCATTGAGTTTTTCTAGGGCCCAGCCTGAAGGTGCAGCATTTCTTGGGGCAAGTTCTTTCCAGGACGTTATCACCAAAGAAGAAGAAGAAAGCTAAACCTCACTAGCACATTTAAGCCTCTTGTTTCATACCTGCTAACATTCTACAGACCAAATCAAATCACATGCTCAAGCACAAAATCAAGGGAGTGGAAAGTATAACTGCCCAGTTAAGAGGGGCTGAAAGGGATGAATCTGCTGAACAAATTCAAACTATCACAGGGACAAATGAGTTTGAAGACTATTACGATAATCCACGTGAGAATTAACAGCATCTTGACTTGGAGTAATAGCAAAGGAAATAGTGAGAAGTGACCAGATTTGGACATATTCTGAAGTACAGCCAAATGGATTTCCTGATGCATTAGATTGAGGGTATGAAAAACAAAGTAAAGATAATGCTAGGAATTGTATCATGAGCAACTAGAGGTATGAAGCTAGCACTAAGTGAATTGAAGAAAGCCAAGGATGGGCTAGACCTTGGAAGGATATAAGGATATAAGTTTTGGACATGTGAGTTGGACATGTTTATCAGACATTCAGGTACAGTTGTCCAAAAGATAGCTGGATTTACAAGTCTGTGGTTAAGGAGAGAAGTCTGGGCTAGTTATAAATTACAGAGCTACAAGCATATAGGAAGTATATAAAGCCATAAAATTGCCATGAGTACAAATAGATAAAAGAGATTCACAGACTGAGCCATGAGATACTCTAATATTAAAAGATCAAGAAAAAATGGAAAGCAGGAAGACTGAAAAGGAGCAAACAGTGAGGAAGAAATAAAACTAGAAGAGCGTGGTATCATGGAAGTCAAATGAAGGCAGTGTACTGAGGAGTAAGAGTGATCAATTGTATCATTGTCACTGATGGGTTCCATAAGATAATGGCTGAGAATTTACCACTAAATTTAACCAAGAGGAGATCATTAGTGACCTCAGCAAGGGCAATTTTGGTGACATAACGAGGGCAAAAGACAGAAGGCTTAAGAAAGATTTGAAGGAAAAAAATTAAAGAAAAGACATATTAGACAACTCTTTTAAGGAGTTTTGCTGCAAAGGGGAGTAAAGAAATAGAAAGGTAGCCCTGGTGGGCGTGACTCAATGGACTGAGCTCTGGCCTGCAAACCAAAGGGTTTCCATTTGGATTCCCAGTCCAGGGCACATTCCTGGGTTTCGGACCAGGTCCCCAGTTGAGGACATAAAAGAAGCAACCACATATTGATGTTTCTCTCTCTTTCTCCCTCCTTTCTCCTCTAAAAATAAATAAAATCTAAATAAATACATAAATAAGTAGCAGAAGTTATTTTAAAGTCAAATCTGATGTCAGTCTCCTGCTTATAATCCTATGTGTTTTGCACTGCACTCACAATTAGGACATTTTCATGGAGTTGGGGAGATGGATGGTAAATGGCCTAGAGATCCTGTTTATGCGTCTACTATTACAAGGATGTCAGATTTTATACTGAGTGCAATAGTTCCCCCTCTACATTAGAACAGGGCACCAGACTACAAGTAGAGAACTAAATTAGGGGACTTTGTAGAAACTCAAGCTACAACCTACTGGACAGTAGCAGTAGAAGAAAAAAAAATGAACAAAATTGGGAAACATTAAGAAGGCAGAAACAGACAACTTACTATGGGGAGTAAGGGGAAAGAAGAAGTCGAGAATGACTCCAAAGTTTATGCTTAAAAAACTGGGCAGCACAGGTGCTATTCAAAAGAGAAAATGAAGAAAAATATGATGGATTCAGTTTGGGATCTTAATGTATAGAGAGATGGTAAGAAAAGTCAAAAGGGTAGATGAATGAAAATGAGAAAAGGACCATGGATACAGTCTGGGGGATATGAGGATTTAAGGAAGGAGAAAAGGAATCAAAGGAAACAAAAGAATGTTTTATACTAGAAGTTAAGAAACTAGAAGAAAGAAGGGAGTGCTAAATGCTGTAGAAAGATTAAGATATGGGCTACAAATAAACATTTGATATAGCAACAAAGATTGCTGCTGAATCTCAGCATGGCCAAAAGCCATGCTGCATTAAACAGAAAAATTCATAAAAGGGAAAAGAGAAACAAGCCTTTAAGAAAGCTTGGCTGGGCAGGGAAAAGAAATTAGAAACGCAATTATCTATATAAATAAATCACCATAACGAATAATCTGAAAACTGGTGGTGCAGAAGAAACTGTCTAATTATTCACCAAATCATCTCTCTTTTTCTCATGGACATACCGCTAAACTACATAATCTAGCCCACCTCACAGTTAAGTGCAGGCATAACCCCGTTTTGTCCAACGAGGCTCAATTATGACAGAAGTGATGTATGCCATTTCCAGGTCGGGCCTATAAAACACTCCTATAAGGGGTACCCTTTCCTCTTTCCTATCTGCTGGCTGAATGGAAAGGACCCTAAGGACCAGACAGAGGAAGTTAAGCCACAGGATGAAAGGAGTAAGGTCCCTGCATGACTGCATGGAACCACCAGCACTTCTTCACCCGAACCTCCAAGACAACAAAAATAGGACTACGAGATGAGTGAGAAATAACTTTTATTGTGTTAGGCTACTGAAACTCTAAAGACATGTGTTATAGCAGTTAGTCTGTCCCCACTAATATAAATAGATGTGTGGCCTAGCAATCAATCAGACGTGGTTACCAGACTTCAGCTGCTGGAGAATACATTACATAACGGCTACATTTGCAATATTAAGATGGAGTTTTAATCAAGTATCAATATTGTATTCAGAAGAAAAATATGTAAACTGGAAAAGAGACACTCGAAGAATGAGAATTTTTCTGTAGTTGACCAGTAAGTTGCTCTACGATAGGCATGTACTGAAAATCCTGATAAATGAAAATGATCTATCAGGTTATCCTAATTTTATGACTTATTATAATTATCCATCTATCTAACTCCCTTGTTTTAATTCAATGCTTATCAAGCAAACTCTATTTTGGAACTGTAGCATTTACTACAGAAGGGGAATAAGGCGGCCAGGAGACTTGAAGTATCTCGTTTCCTTGACAGTTACTGTTCTTATAGTAATTGACGTCAGTGTGTCCTGAGCATTAGTGCAGCTCAGTCAAAGCCTAATTTACCCAAAGACACTGAAAAAAATCAGAGTTAACTTGGAAATTAATTAACAGATCATTGTGGTGTTACCACCACAGGTAATTTGAACCTGTAAGATCCAATCTGAGTAGCTAGCTGTTCCCGACAGATGACATTCTTAGCTATGTATTTTATAACCTGATATCTTAGACCAGGACTTAATAAATTGTCATTTGAAATGTTTAAGATAGAAACATCAATCTGTAAATTTCAAAATTAACTAAACCATATCTAAATACTTTGGAAAGAGTTCCTTTGAACAATTTTTACTTTACTAATGAGAAGTCTTAGAACTCAAGAATCCTAAGTGATTGGTTTAGGATTACACAGCAAGATAGAATCTAAAGATCCTCATTATTTTAGTAAACTAGGATCAAAAGAAACAAAAAGGACTCTAACAGGAATTTCTAAGAATTCTAATAGAACTTGCAGAAACAGCCAAACAATACTTACATCTTGATATAACTTCAAATAGGTATCATCAAATAAATGCAACAATGTACACTTAAAAGGTAAAAATATAGTGCCAGCAATTAATAAAAGTGGGTAAAGCTAATTAAGTTTTTAGTACAAAGCAGAATTATAAAAATTAAAAGTTAGCTTTACCATAACAAAATTAAAAGCAAACTTAAAAGTTATTTAAACAATATACCTAACAAAATAAAAGCCATTTGTCTTAATATTCCAAACTAACTTTTGAATTCTGTTTTACATTACCATTCATCATCCACATCTATTACAAGAAAATGAAACAAAGTGTCAAAATGCCTAATATGCAAACAATTTAATAGTTAACATTCCTTTAAAACTATAGGTACACAATCCTTAATTTGAACTCTAGAAATCCCTCAAATTCTGAAAAAAGAATTTTTCATAACTCATTTGGGTAGCCTAAATGACTGAATTGACATTGCATGAAACCAATCAGTCTTTATTTATCCCAAATAGTGAACTATAGAGCTTTACTTGGTTGGTAAATTGCACTTATAAAAAAATATGTACAATTAAAGCAGAGGTTTTCTGATTCAACCAAAAAGTTAAAAGTTTTATTAGTGCAGAATTTTCCCCATAAATTATCTCTTCACTCCATGTAATCAAGATACAACGTAGGAAAATAATCTGAAAGTTTAGCTTCAGTAATGTACTTACACGTTTCGGCAAGATATGGGCTTGAGAAAACCAACTTCGTTTCCAGTAAAATGTGTTTCATTTCCACTGAAATCCTTACAAGTTATGTTGGGTGCTGGAAAACATGGAACTAAAGGCAAAAAAATGCAAGAAGCAATTTTTTTTTTCTGTTAAAAAGGTATGTAATTTTTTTAAGACTAACAGCACAGAAGAAAATATAACATGTAACAAACCACCTGCCAATATAATACCTGACATGATATCTTAATTTAGATAGGAAAAGTTACATTACCAATAGATGGATAGACAGATATACACACATACATTCATGTACAAGATAAAGATAATATGACACAGCGGTGTCAACACAAAAATATAAGAACTGCCACAGTGGGTTGGATGCATGACTGATCTAGTTCAATCTCCTGCCTCTGACAAAAGTGACAAAGGAAGAAATGCACAATGTTACCACCCTTACTTCATCTCTAAGATAAAGAATAGTTCTAAAATTTTTGTTGGTAACTCCTTGGATAATTGGGCAATTCATTAAATTTAACATATGATTTTATATTTTAGGTTTATACAACACTAGCCATAAACTAAGATTCTTTTTATCAATTCTAAATAGAGTCTCTTTATTAAGTATATGTGTTTCTCTATTCTCTCTAGGATTTAATTTAGTATTATAATTAAGCATTTGGAGCCCTGACTGGTGTGGTTCAGTTGGCTAGATATTGTTCTGCAGATCAATAGGTTGCCACTTCGATTTCCAGTCACAGTACATGTCTTGGCTGCGGGCTGGGTTCCCAGTTAGTGGGGGTGAGAGAGGCAACTGGTTGATGTACCTCTCACATATCATTGTTTCCCTCCTTCTCTTCCTCTCTCCCCCTCTCTAAAAATAAACAAATAAAATCTTTGCCCTGGCTTATGTGGCTCAGTGGATTGAGCACTAGCCTGCAAAACAAAGGGTTGCCAGTTCAATTCTCAGTCAGGTCACATGCCTGGGTTGTGGGCCAGGTCCCGAATAGGGGACATGCAAGAGGCAACCATGCATTGATGCTTCTCTCCCTCTCTTTGTCCCTCCCTCCCTTCTCTATGTCTAAAAATAAATGAATAAAATCTTTTTAAAAAATGGGCAAAGGACCTGAATAGACACTTCTACAAAGAGGACATAGAAATGGACAATGGACATATGAAAAAATGCTCAATGTCATTAATCAGCAGAGAAATGCAAATCAAAACCATAATGAGATACCATCTCACACCTGTCAGAATGGGTATCATCAATAAAACAAAAAACAACAAGTACTGGCGAGGATGTGGACAAAGGGGAACCCTTTTGCACTGTTGGTGGGAATGCAAATTGGTGTAGCCACCGTGGAAAGCAATATGGAGATAGCTCAAAAATTTTAAAATGGATCTGCCTTTTGACCCAGCAATCCCACTGCTGGAAATATACATGAAGGAACTCAAAACACTAATTCAAAAAACCATAAGCATCCATGTTCATTGCAGCGTTATTTACAATCACCAAGATATGGAAACAGCCTAAATGTCCATCAATAGATGCATGGATAAAACAACCATGGGACATTTGCACAATGAAATACTACTTGGCCATAAAAAAGAAAAATTTGCCCTTTGTGACAACCAGACTGGTAGGAGGGCCACAGCCACCCATGTGGATAAAAATTCTGGGGCAATACCTCAGGAGTGAGGAGTCCCAGATCCACACCAGGCCCTCTAGCCCAGCATTCCAGTACCAGGAAGGTAAGTCCCCACAACTTCTGGCAGCAAAAACCAGTGGAGATTGAGTCGGTGAAAGGAACTGCTGGAGCCCCAAATAGTTCCTCTTAAAGAACCCACACACAGACTCACCTCAGTCTCACTTCCTCTGAACTCTGGCACCAGGGTTAGCACCTTGAAGGGCACCAGTAGTAAACTGGGAGAAACTGAAGTGTCTGGCATCAAGGTGGGCAGAGACCATTGTCCCTTTGCTAAATCCTCCCCCCACAGAAACAGTAAACTGGGGCCATATCTGAGACTCCATCAACCTGGCTAACACTGACCCGCCTTGGAGATCCCCAGAGGCTCTGCCTCACCCAATTTACTGGCCCAACCAAGCTGCTTTTCCATAAGAAATGCTGGTCTTCAGTCCTAAATCCTATTAAACAAGCAACAGCTGGTTTCAGTGAGTCCTAGAGGCAGCCAGATTAGATTCACAGCTTATCTTCTCCTGGGAATCTCCAAGCCTAGCGCAAGTAGCAGCCATCTTAGATTGCTTAATAGCTCAGGCAGGGTGCCCTGGCCAAAACACAGGTTGGGGTGACCTTGGCCTGCACCACCCAGGAAACCCCAGGGCCAGTGCACCCAGTGGACAGCTACAAACCACATCGGAGCACCACCACCCTGCCCCTGCAGAGCAAATGCTCCATGGAGAGAGAAAGTTGGTGGTCAGTGGTCAGAACTAGTCCTTGCAGCTGACTGGCCTGGGTAAGTTGCCCCCATTGATCTGCCAACAGCAACCAACGCTAAACTACAAGAGGAGCGTGTACTCAGCCCACACAAAGAGTGCACCTCACGTACCCAGCTTGGGTAATAGGAGAGGCTGTGCCACTGGACCTCACAGGACACCTAGTACTTTAGGCCACACTACCAAAACACAGAGTCATAGCAGTTCTACCTAATACACAGAAACAAACACAGGGAAGCTGCCAAAATGAGGAGACAAAGAAACATGGCCCAAATGAAAGAACAGATCAAAATTCCAGAAAAAGAACTAAACAAAAGGGAGAGATAAGCAATCTATCAGCTGCAGAGTTCAAAACACTATGAGGATGCTCAAGGAACTTAGTGAGGATTTCAATAGCATAAAAAGGACCCAGTCAGAAATGAAAGATACACTAATTGAAATAAAGAGCAATATATGGGGAAACAACAGTAGAAAGGATGAAGCCAAGAATCAAATCAATGATTTGGAACATAAGGAAGCAAAAAACGACAATGCAGAACAGCAAGAAGAAAAAAGTATTCAGAAAATGAGGATATTATAACAGCCTCTGGGACAACTTCAAGAGGTCCAACATTTGCATCATAGGGGTGCCAGAAGGAGAAGAGAGCGAGCAAGAAATTGGAAATCTATCTGAAAAAAATAGTGAAAGGAAACTTCCCTCATTTGGTGAAGGAAATAAGACATGAAAGTCCAGGAAGCAGAGTTCCAATGGATACAAGGTGGCCCACTCCAAGACACATCATAATTAAAAGGCCAAAGGTTAAAGATTAAGAGACTTATAAAAGTAGCAAAAGAAAATAAGTTAATTACTACAAGGTTGCCAGATGGGAGAGGGGAGGGGGAGAAAGGGTGAAGAGGTGGGGGGATTAAGAAGTACAAATAGGTAGTTACAGAGTAGCAATGGGGATGTCAAGTACAGTAATAGGAAATGGAGTAGCCAAAGAACTTATACGAATGACCCGTGGACATGAACGACGGTGCGGGTATTTCCTGAGGAAGTAGAGGGTGCTGGGTGAAGGGGGGCAAAGGGGGAAAAAGCAGGGCAACTTTAATAGCATAATCAATGAAATATAATTTAAAAATATGAAACTTCATGTTTCAAGGGTCTTTTTGATGTCCTCTCTACTCAGGACTTAGAAATGATTCACCATGGCCACCCGCTGGCTTTTGTGTGTTTTAGGAGCAATTAAAAAAGATTTCCTGTGGACAGGCATAGCCTCATGAGAGTGGGGCCAAGATGGTAGAACCTATTTTAGCTTTTGGCTGGACTCCTTTGTAGCATACACAAATTGTACATACATGTGCAGAAGCCCTGTGACTCATATTTGTCTCAGAAACATTTTCTTTTTAATATTATGATAATGATTTAAAGCCACTTATTTATTAATCTACAACAGACACTTAACTGAAGAGTACAGCTCTTTTGGGAAACAAACAATTCTCATTATTACATAATTTCCTTAAAAATTCTTATACCTGCAAAGAACTCTGTAGGATAGAAAACACTTTTTTGAGATAGCTAACTGCCTGCTTCCTAGCTTAAAGTTAGATACCTGAGTCAAAACAGTATTCACAGATTTCCAACATCTTTTACATAAGTGGTCAAATATTTGAAAGCTGATTCTTCTGCATGTGTGTTAAAGTTATTCTCTGCATTCCAAAAGCACAATGTAATAGACAAATATATAAAACAGGCAAATCAGAGTGTAGTTGTAAATTATTTTAAAGAGTAGGTGATTCCTTGCAAAGTTCCTTTAAGTTTAGTACATTTAAAATAAATGTATACATGTTAGGCAACGTATACTATACAAATCATGTATGTATATCACCTATTACATATAGCAAAATATCAATTATAAAAAGTTAACACAACTTACTTTCTAATATCTCTGTTGAGTAGAATCAGGCGAACAGTATGATAAATTATAAAAATATAACAAGATAAAAAGATACGCTTTTAGTGCTTGCTTCGGCAGCACATATACTAAAATTGGAACGATACAGAGATTAGCATGGTCCCTGCGCAAGGATGACACGCACATTCATGAAGCGTTCCATATTTTTATTTTTGTCTTTTTTGATTGATAGATGGAACTTCTTTACATATTAATATATTAACTCTTCTGCATTGCAAATATTTCCTCCAGTGTTTTTACCTTTATATTCCATTCATAAAAATATAGAAATTTTTATTATACGATAAAAAAGATATGCTTTTAACAAAAATAATTCATTTAATCTCATTTACATATGAATCTGTTTTATAGCTTTCACTTAAAAACTAAAAAGTATTGGCTTATTTCATGTCTAATATATAAAAAATCAATATTTATTCAATAGGTGCTCTTTTCTCAAAACAATACTATGTAATTACCATAATTATGTATCATGCCAATAAAAAAGCTAAATAGCTCCAGTATAGAGCTACCTGCCACCTTTCCAATATATACCATTTCACTTTGTGGGGCAACACCCAACCACCTAAGCCACACCAGTCAGGGCATATCCTTTTTGAAGAAAAGACTAAACAAAAATATTATTATTTTTATCTGGCATTACACATATTTGAGAATAACAGAAGCACCCCCATATCATTAGCCTGAGGGTTTGCTATTATCAAAATATTGCTAAGAAAATACTGATACAAAAATAATTAATAAAGTACTGATGCATATTTAAAGTACTTACCGTACTGTTTTCACACTCAGGATGTACCTAAGTACATTTTACAGGGGTATAATGTGGGTGACATAGCTGCTTACTGTACATTTTTGTACTAACAGCTTCATTTCAAGTTTTTTACAAGTAATTAAAAATCTAACTAAAGAAGCACCTTTGCATAACATAGGCTGGTAAATAAAGAGCATTAAGACAGCTATATAAATTGGTTCTAAAGGTTTAAAAAAATTAATGAAAACATAAAAGTTCACAGTTTATATAATTAAATAAGATTTTTAAATCCCCTAGCCAGTCCTCCAATTTTAAGTTGTTCTGTCAGTTGAATAATGTTATAATTCAAGAAAAACACATTAATTACTTTTAGTGATCATACACTGATCTATGAAATGTTTTTAAAATTATTTTTAAAGACATTTTTCTGGAATTCTTACCATGAGCTGTGTAGTTTGTACAGTTAACTGGTTCTTGTGTAGCATCATTTATTTTTGGATCTTTACAAATATATTTAAGAAAAGTTAAGGAAACATGAACTCTATTCCAACATAAAACATTACCATCTGTTCAATATCTCCTATATACTCATGTTCATAGTCACACGTAAAGAGAGGCTGTTAACTTGTCCAGGTCAAAAAAACATAAGCGCAAACTATCAGTGTCATTAAATAATATCTGAACATTAATTTATTACACAGAAAGTATATTAACCCTATCAAAGAATGTCATCCTTAAAGAACATCCGTAAGAGTTTAAACACAAAGGAAAAATGAAAATAAAAAAGTTTTTACCAAATTACTGTAAGAAGCTTTAGGGTTAAAAAAAAAAATCAGATTCCAGAGACTTGATTGAACTAATTTATAGGGCCCCAAGTAATGCCATTTACATAATATATGATATTTCATGTAACACGAATAACCCTGTGAGGTAGATACTATTACTCCAATGTTACAGAAGCACAAACTGAGGCTCAAAGTTTGAATGACTTATCCAAAGTCATCTAAGTGATAGATTGATTGTAAAGTCAGGGTTCCTGATTCCAAGCCTAGGGCACTGTCCCTTAGACTGCAGGGAAGATGGTGTTTTAGGTGCGCCTACACAGTCTCCGCAACAGGGTTTTAAGCTTTTGAAAACAGGTGTAATAATTATCTTCTTATAAATGTTCAAAACACTTGGGTGTTTTTCTGCTTCCTAAATATTTCATTGACTATAATGAGATAAGTAAGGTATTCACAAGATGTCTCTGGAGATAGTCCGACACTTGTTTAAGATGTAACCGCTATTTTCCAGTTATCATCACCTCTTAGTCCTATATGCTTACACACTCCTCTCTAGGGTTCACACTGCCCATTCTCTTGGAGAGAACCTCCCTGACATTTCTGCCAAGAAAACTTACTAGATGAGTGATTCTCAAATTCCAAGTAAAATGGTATTCAGCAAATTAGAGCTATTCTGTAAAAACCAAATAACTGCTATCTCTCAACTCAAATAAAAATACTATAGAAAAGAATTTTCTTAATTTTAAGATTTTTCTCTCATAGAATCTTTCTTGTATCTCTGGCTCCCATTAATTTATCTGTTATACAATTTGTATAAAACTTATCTAATTTTGTACAAAATTAGCAATTTTAATTTGAATGCAACTACATTTCATATTGTCCCTCAGTTTATCAGAACTGTTAAAATGAACAGATCCACTCAAACCCTTCAGCCTTAGTTTTCTCTTCTGTAAATAAAAAACTAACACAAACAGTCCCTACTCTGTGCTAGGCATTATCCTATCCTACGTGATTTACCTGTAGTACTAATTTATCACAACACCTTTAAGCTGGTTCCATTGTTAATCTGTATTTTTAATCATGAGAAAACAAAGTTCAAATAATTTGCCCACCATTACAAAATGGAACAGGAATTTGCCCCCTGACAGTCTGGCATCTCACAAAGTTTGAAAATGATATACAGTAATACATGTGAAGTTAATGATAAATGGACAACGTTCACTGGCTTTAAAGTTATCAACTACTATTTGTCTCACAACCAACTTCCAGGGTAGAGCCGTCAATGTTTTTATTACCAGTGCTAGATTAGGACCTTGCATACTTCAGGATCTGTGTTTGGTGAACAAATAAACCCCCAGTTCAAAAACACCACCACCACCACCAACAAAACAAAACAACGGCGGATCAGAGAAGGAAACGCAAACCATAGAAAAATCCCAAGGAAATCCAAAGGGTGGCCTGCAATTAACATCCCTAATCTCTCTTCAGCTCCCAGGGATCCCTTGGTCATTAGAGGCCACAGGTCACCGTTCCTTTCAGTACAACCTTACCCGCGGAGAGGGCCCCAACCCTCTAGGGACCCCAAATCTACCTCACCCCCAACGGGAAGCTCCTCACAGAGGATATTGTCCCACTTTGAGGTCCTCGCACTTAAGCGTCTCCTCGCCCCCGGCGGCAGCAGCTCCCCAGGGTCCCGTGGTGACCGACACGAACCACAGGACACCCAGGAGCTGGACAGCCACTGTTTCAGGAACAGCCTGACCGAAGGGCCAGGCGGCCGCCATGCTGGGGACCGGCACGTCCCCTACGACTTCCGGTTCCGCCTTCGCCTAGACGCGGGAGGGAGAAGGGCGGAGGGAGGCAGGCTCTTAAAGGGAACTTGCACCGGCTGCACGCAAGTGATAGACCTTAATCGGCTGCTGAATGTGCGGGAGGGCCTTGGTTGGTTTTCCAGCCCGGAAAAAGAAGGCTCGCTTCGGGAATCAGCTACCCTCCATCCATCCTACTGTTCACTCCCGAGCAAGCTCTGCTGTGACTTTCTGTTTGCAAGAGTGCCAGTGGCGCCCGGCGATTTGATAAAGGCTTTACAGTGTCTCCGTTAGTCCTGGTAGGATTTGGGTTTGCAGTAACGAACCCGGCTCAAAGACGCCTAATAAGCATGTTCACCTTATTACTGAGTTAGAATAAAAGTGATGTTTGTCCGATTTCAGACTCTGTGCTGTTACTATTGTAATATAATGGTCTCCCTGTTATCCTAGAGAATTTATGGAAGCTGCGAACCGTACTTTAGCAAAGATGAGCATTACACCTTTCTTTTTCATGGGGAAAGTTTAGGTAAGGGAAAGAATCGGTAACAGGAGACCAAAGGGTTTAGGACTACACTAAGTGAAAAGTTGGAGGTGGGGTTTTGTTGGGGGTTTTTTGGGTTTTTTTTTTAATTTTAGAAAGATTTTATTTTTTCTTAATTCTAAAGTCTACATTAAATAACCACAATATTTTTAAAAAGCTATTTTGTTTATCATTGTTTTAATTTACGATGTTTGTATGTTACTTTTGAACAACTATCCAGCAGTTCCTTTGAAATCACATTTTCAACAATGTAGCTCTATCCATTTACTCTTAGTGAAGGTTCTTCAGGAGAGAGGTAGAATTATTATGCCTCTAGAGAGCCATAAGAGATTAGAACTGGATTACAGTTGTTTTTATTAAATCAATGTCCATAATTTGTACCAGGTATATTTAGGTGTCACTGTTTTATCTAAGCTTATAGCCCCAACAGCTAAATGAGCATGTGATTCACTAGGGTGCTCTTAAAAATGTGAATTCTCTGGCCTCATCCCTAGACATTTTGACTTTGTAGTTCAAGAGGGGGGAACCACTTTTCTAATATAATTCCTTTTCTTGCAGATGAATTATTGGTTATGCAGATTCATTCAATGGTTTGAAGACAGGCATTGACCTTTGACTTTTCACTTGAGCAGGCTGTAATTACACAAGGTGAAAGCAGAAAAGTTGGAGGTTTTTCCCCTCCATCTCTTCTTTTTAAATTTTTATACTAAAAGTTTTGTAGTGAAGATACCTTTTATATTGAACAAATGTGTATGTTTTAAGGGAAAGTTTAATCCTTTTTCCCTGAAGTAAAAGTATTTGAATTTGAATGGTGCCTCTTCACCCACAGCAGCACCAGTTTTGAAGAACTGTATTATGCCATGATTCTCAAACTTTAGGGAGCATCAGAATCACGTGGAGGATTTGTTAAAACATGGAAGGATGGGCCCCACCAGCAGAGTTTCTGAATCTGAAGATCTTGGGTGGAGCAGAATATTTGCACTTCTAATAAAAATGATACTCATATTGCTGGTTCGGAGACCTCACTTTGAGAACCCTGGGATCATTTGGAATAGGACATAAAATTATTTCAGTAATATATTAGAATTGTAACTATGTTTAACATTTTCTTAAACCAATTTTGCAGCATTACTATGCTATTTTTAAAAGTCTTCCTTGGCCCTGCATCCTCCAGGCAAATGCCGCTTATGACAAACCTTTTCTCTTTAGCCAGTAGACTGTTCATTTTAGTAGTTGGTGTCTACAGGTGTTCGATATAAAGCACGATGATTATGACACATTATTTCAAATTTAGTTCTGAAAGCTTTAGTTGAAATATAAGCATGTAAATTGGCTTTCAGATATGTATTCATAAACAGTAGCTGGTCACTTGTGCCTGGGCAATCAAGTAGCACAATACCTAGCCCTTCTCAACAAAAGCTAGGCCTGCACCCACTTACTCTCTAAAACACGTGGCCCAGTGGCCATCTCAATGATAACTACTTCTCTGGCACCCTCTAAGATCTGGTGACAAAAGTATCACCTTTTCCATGACTCGGTAAGAAAAGCTGGTTTTCTCATGGGTTGTGGAACACCACCAGCATTCTCCCTCTTCCTTCCTCACCAAGGTCCAGGAAGACAGGAGGCAGCATTAAACTTTTTGTGTGTTTAGCCCTGGATGGTGCTGCTCAGTGGGTTGAGTGCCGACCTGCAAGCCAAATGGTCACCAGTTCAACTCTCAGGGCACAGGCCGGGGTTGTGGGCCAGGTCCCCAGCAGGGGGCGCGGGAGAGGCAATCATACATTTCTCTTCCTCTCCATCTCTCTAAAAATAAATAAATAAAATCTTTAAATTTTTGGTACATTTACACCCCACTTTGCGAGTCCATGCTCTCTTTAGGAACTCACTGGTTCAAAGGAAAAAGAAGTAACTCCTGAACCTAGAAATCAAGTGGAGGCTATTTTTAAATTAAAACATTTATGCTTAAATGTTTAAGTGATAGGAATTTTGGAATTTACTAGTTCAATTTTTAAACTTTAAAAATTTTATGTACGGTCAAGCATGGATAACGAAGTCACTTACATTGTTTTTATGTGTGTTTTTGTCATTTGCAGGCAGTTATTTCACTCTGATGCTTTTGCAAAGTATTTCTGCCAAGACATTTCATCTTCAGAGAAATTCATGGAGAGGACTTTGACACTAACTCTAAAGTACAGGGTTCCAATAAACTTTTCATTAAACTGGATGAAGATTTACAGAATTCTAAAAATAAAAAAACCTGGATTCATAAAACTGCTGACAAAAACATCAAGATCAACAAGAATTAATAATGTGGGACTGAATGAAATAGTGGGGATAATTATAATTTAATGACATATTTGAAATATTACTATTTTTATCCTTGTTTTTCTAATATAAGGCTTTTCCCCCCTAAACACAGCAATTTGGTAAATTATACCTTTTTAAGCAGAACTGAAACATTTATATTTCCCTCCAGAATTTAGAAACTCTTAGAATAAGAGTTTAAAATAAAACTTCATTTTCCCCCCTTACTTTAGTTCCTGACTAACTCACAATGAATGTGAGAGGCCAAGCACTCACTGTAACAGTTTTGTTTTCTTTTTCCCCTTACTTTCTGCCTGGAAAGATAACTCAACATTGGGTATCATTTCTAAACCTACTTCACAGATCAAAATGTGCAACTGGTTGCCCACACAGTCAAGGATGTTCAATGCCTAGCAATGCCAACCCCAGGAAAGTTACCAGATTTGGAAAAATACTTTTTCTTTTAAGCAGGTATTGCAATGAATATATACATGATTAAAAACTTATCAAAAACCTAAGAGAAAAATTGCTGGAGCTACCACCAAAGCAATAAAACCAGGAAATATCTTTAAATTCCCTTGTGCAAGTTATATTAAAAAATAGGATTGCTCTTGATCATATCCTAGCTAAACAAAGTGAGTTTTGCTCTGTTGTTATGACCTCTTGTACTTGGATAAAATCCCTCTGATAAAATGGAGATGGGACTAGATAAAATCTGGGCCCAAGTCAAATGATTAAATACAGTGCCCACTGATACCTCATGGTTCTCTAATATCTTCAGCTGACTGCCCTCAGGTATTGCCTCTTGGTTTAGAGCTATTATTCAAATTGGACTTAACATTTTGTTTATTATTATATGAATTTTTACTGTTAGAAAACTTTGTTTATGTTACATAGCTCAGTGTTATAAAGATACCACCCTGATGATTGTTGCTCAACATTTTGAGATGATCACTAAGGCTTGTGAAACTTCATATGAGAACTTCAAGAAACTACAAAAAATGTTTGCCATTAAAGGCTTCCTTTCTTCTGGTGCTCTTGTGACTCAGATGTGACTAAGGCTCCTAAAAAAAACCACTTTTGCTTCTAGATGGAACAGACAGACCAGGAATGAGCCTTTCTGTCAACAAGGGATTAGCAATGGCTTGACATACCAAAGATGAGCCTTCCTGACAATGGAGGACTAATGATGCTTTTAATAGCTGACCAGTGTTGCTTTCCAGTGATTGATCAGTTATGCTTTCAAGGAAAGATCGCAACCAAAAGGGGGGAAAACGAAATATAATATAAAGGAAGCCACTTTAAAATGGAGTCAGAGTTGCCATTCAAACGAACAGCATATCTTACTCCTTAAACCTTTGGAATGTTAAAACTGGGTAAAATAACCTTTGGACTGAGCCTAATGCAGCATTGTATCCTAAGCCGATGTTTGTAAAGATAAGAATGCAGATACTATGACTACTGGACTGAAAATTCAGAAGATTCTTTAGAATGACATCAGTATGTTAGCTTATCTTCACCTATAAAAATTCTTTCTTGCTATTGACATAATTGTTCCTCTTTCTTTTCTCATAAATACTCCTTGCCTTCACCTCCTAATTGGGACACTGTTTGGAGTTCTGCCTGAATAAGTACTTCCAAATAGTTATTCTTTTGAATCTCAAATAAATGCTTGTTGCCTCTCACTTTTGCCTTTTTATTTTTAAGTTAATACATTATACATCATTTTGCTGCAATTCCAAGAATATATATATATAGTTAAGTATATTTTATATATCATTGAGGATTTACTGTATTTTTTATCCACTGTAGGGATAGTGCTAATCTTTGTATTTGTGTCATTTTTCATATAGATTTTGAGCAACTATTTGAAAATCCTCATGCTTTGCTGATTAATCTCATTACAAAATCTATTTCTATGGTTCTAATAATGTATAAACTGAAAAGAGCAAAAGAGTCTCCCCATGAAAGTAAAGAAACAATACAAAAATTTTGATGCTTGAACTGATGGCATATTAAAAAATTAACTTTCTCTTCTTACTGCCCCTTAATCTATTTTCTCATGGTTCAGTGAAATACATTATTTATTTGCAAACTTAGTCTCTAATCATATAAGTACTCCATTGTCTAATTTTAGTAAGAAAGTTTT